GTGCATTATATACGTGTGTGCTGCCTTGATTTTTGTAAGAGGTTTGCAATGGAGAAAGACGTTATCCCTACACACATTATAGGAACCCATTGCCTCCCTAACTAACAAAGAGTGGTGAAACTCTTACAAGGCAGCAAGATATATTAGTGTAACAACAGCCAGTCACACAACTGCTTTGCCTCCATTTCTCCCACAGTGGCAAAGAACTTATGATTGAAAGTTCCGTTTACCCTTCGACGACTCACGACTACGGAGCAATGTCGTTGTCCCGTTCGCACGTCCGATCAAGTCCCATTGCCATCATTCAAAGCAAATCCAGTAAGGAAGACGAGTTTGATCACAGCGACAGCGATGAGAGCATTATTGACGTGGAACTGGATGCCTTGAAAATAAGGCAAAAGCAGCAAACGCCATATGATACCCAACCTGGGCCTGCAAATGGAAAGAGCAGCATTTCCATCAAGCAAGAGAACGAGCTCAAGGCTCCCTATCTTGGTTCTTTGAGTAAATCGGAAACCAATCTGATGTCTTTGCCACCAATGGCCTTATCAGAAGCCTACCTAGAAGATCCACCATCCGAAGTTACGAGTTATGGATCTTTACGTGATTCTCATCAAAAAGGGCGTTTCATTGATGGTCCTTCGAGTTACCGCGAGCCAGCTTCTGGGCGAATCATGCAATACGATCGTCTCAAAAAGTATCAGTCAGTTCCCCCTACACAATCGATTGGAGAGCGCATGCAACAAGCACGGAAACTCAAAGGCATTAGACAGCAAAGTCAAGAAAAACGGAATCAGAAAGACAACAACAACGGCGAAAATAGCTCCAACAACAATGTTTCTTCGTCCCTCTCGGCCTTACTGAGTGATGCTTCCCAGCTGGTCAAGGACGATATGCAGAACACAGCTGGTTTCGTCAGTCAAAATCAAAATCAACAGGAAACTTTCAGGCCTACCTTTGGCTTTTACGATGAAGATCAGGAAGATTCAAATATGCTTTCAACATCCTTGACAGCTTTTGAAATTATGCAAACCAAATTGGAACCACCCAGCCGACTGGGGACTAGCTTGAGCAACAGTGTAGTCTACGAGGCTGGATTCAGACCATTGGCCAGGTCCTTGTCGGATCCACTCCCACAACATTATCGACCCAATGGCACTGTCTTTTCGCCAATGCTTCCATCCCAAGCTGCGGCACAAGCACCCACATCCATGAGCCACTTTTCGTTGGGTCCCTCCCCCATGACCGTGCATGGAGGAGCAAACCAGCAAGCAGATACTCCCATGTCCTTCAACGATGATAGTCCGGATATGGATGCGGCGTTTGACATGGATTTGTAACCAAGAGGTGGTTTGGCTGGTTGGCAGGAAGGGTTTGCCGTTTTTGAAATCTATATATATACATGTATATATGTGCGTGTCTGTCAATATTTTCGTCAGGGCCTGCATTTTTACGAACCACTGTGGTTGCTATGTTCGGTGGTTTAAGCAAGGACCTTTTTTCATATGAAGTTGATTTTATAAATTCACATATTGTTCGGGAGTTGTTCTTTTGCAACTACTACGAACGATGTAAGAACTAATATAATAGGAAACATTTCTTATAAATATTGGGAGCATCATCATCATTCGACTACTATGTTGTGGTTGATTGGAACAGAGTTTGTACTTGGATTGGATTTCTATCGTTTTCATGAATTTCCTGACCGGTACGGTACCTGGTACGTGTACCGGTCACCTTGTACACGTGTACGTGTACCACAGTACTTGGTTCAGTACACGTGCCAGCAAGACAACTAAAAATCGGTTATTGGCGCGGGTGACGACAAGACCTCAAAAACGGTATCGAACAAGAATAGTGTCGAAGAGGCGCTCAGCGCGCGCAAAGCACGGAATGGTTTTCTCTATCATATCAGCGATCCACGGACACAAATCACGGCCAGAAGAACACTTCCATAAATTCTTCGTCCATCATCCAAAGATGGGAAATTGCGTGACCCAAGAGATGCCCCAGCCCCAGCAAAGGCGGCGGGCACCTAATACTGAAGAAGACGAATATGAAACAAGATCAGTTGCTACCACTCCAACAAGAGATCCTGAAGTCCGTGGAGCAGAAGACCCATCATCGTCCAACGGATATTCTCCGTCCGAGAAAGAAATCACTGAGAAGAGAAAAGAAGGTCTATCGAAGCCTATCCAAGATTCGGCGGGCGCAAGCGTTTGTGAGCCTCCAATTGAGGAGCCACCGTTGATTAAGCATGAGATCAGCGAGCCCGCCAAAGATACCAAAGATAGTGCTGTCGCTGAATCTCCTGCCCCCAAGAAAGAAGAACCAGACATTGTCATCCCACCAGAAGGAGGAGAGTCTTTGGAGGCAGCAGATCAAGCTGAGATGAAGCATGCGTCATCCAGAAACCTTGGTAAGATGGGTGCGGAAATTCCATCGGATACTGACTCCATGTCTCTGTCGAGCCAAGTCAGTTCTAACGAGGTGGAACCAGCAGCAGCTGCTGGTAGTCATACAGTGGACAAGAAGCCTGCAAAGGCTCCCACCAGTAACAGCACATTCAAGAGATCCGCTGGTATCTTCCTTAGTTCGATCGGTTTGTTGGCTGGATCCATTATGCTGACGCAAAGCAGTGGTCCACAAGACATTCAAAGCATTCTGATTCCAAAAGCAGAATCGTTGCCTCGTCCTCCCATGGACTGCAAGGGCGACGATTGCCCTTTTCTAAACTGGTTGGATACTCGCGAAGGTTTGTGTTCCCCGGATCAGAAAAGGTCAGTGGCAGACGTCAAGTTTACACCTTGCCCACCATATAGCTCCAATAGCACTCTGCCCCTGGCCTCGGCCCCGGCGTGCAACTTTGCTTCTTGGGTAGATGCCCAAGACAAGATTGACAAGTGCTCTCTTGACACGGACAAGAGATTCGACCAAATCTGGTCCAAATATATGTAATAACTTTGGCTTGGGGGCAGAATGACACGAGCTTGGACGATGACCACGGCGAGGAGGATGTAATACATGACGACGACCTAAACGAGGGACAATGGCATCCTTGACAAGGGAGGGAGGGGTCACTTTGACTCTGGCTCTTTGTTTTATACTCTAGGAAATTGCATCTTTCATGGGGCAATTTGGAATTAGAAGGATATATCGTTAACCTTAGAACCACTACATACTGTACTCTAATCTACTAGGTATGCGAGACTTGTTGGAACTATCGGTACTTTCATGACAATAAGCTCTGCAGTGTTTGTCCGTCGTTCGTGCCAGGAACAAAAGACCCCAACCCCGAAACAGAGAAACGACCAACACGTTAGACAAAGACGAAAATAGTAGTCGTCTAGTAAAGGTTCTACAAAATCCAACAAGACAATAGAAAATGGTCGAATTTGCCGTCTCAGACAACCGCGCAGATGGCCTGGCTATTACGGAAGCCTTTCGACAAGCTAGTGTAAGTTGATTCATTCGTCTGGGGTTTAGGTGTCAAGTCATTGTGTTTTAATACGATCGATCGATCTGACCGTTGATAATAATCTTTCAATGACTTATTTAATACCAGGATGACGATGTACGGAATGCCATGAATGCCATGTCAAATCCTACAGACGTGGATTCTCTAAAGTTCTATATCATACCTTCGTCATGGTTTGTGAAAGCATGGCGATTGTTCGGCGCCCGATCGGAAGATGATGTTGATGAAAATTGGAGAGAAAGCATAGGATCGATTCAAAACATAGAACTCTTGAACATAGAGCACGAGGTCACCAGTGATGAGGAAGATCCGGCGGAAGATCAGCAGAAGAAAATGTTTGAAAAGCTTCACCTGAGGATGGCAAAGAATCTCCAGGAAGGCAAAATAATGAGTGAACTTGAACATACCAAAGACTATTTTTTCCTGGGTGCAAGTGCATGGTTGCTGGTGAAAGAGAAGTTTGGCTTTGATGGGTTAGAACTTGAAAGGCCATGTGTGACGAATGCTGCCAATGGTTCCCTAGAAATTCAATTGAAACTTGAAGAGTCGAATGGAACTACACCAAAGTTGATTACAATCCCCCCTTCTGGAAGATTTGCTTACGAGAAAGTAATGTCGAGCAAGGTGAGCAACACAGTTGCGATCATTAGTGAAGGAACGAATGGAAATGCTTCAAGAATGCCCAACGTGACGACTTCTAATCCGGGAGCAATCATTCCATTTAACTCAACCTCGAAATCCAAGAATGGAAAGAGTGCAAATGAACCAGAAGACTCGAACGACCAGGACATGGAGACCGATAGTCAACCGATGGCGGGGCGAAAGCGACACGCATCGGGACTTGGAAACATAGGCAATACCTGTTTCATGAATTCTACTCTGCAATGCCTTGCACACACAGAACCGCTCCTGCATTATTTCCTCTCTGGAGAGTATCAAGCAGACCTCAACAAAGACAACCCATTGGGTACTGGTGGAGAACTAGCCTCGGAGTTCGCCAACCTTGTTCGTGAGATGTGGGGTATTCCAATCAGACGACACGGTGTCGTTACTTCAAGTTCGCTCTCAGCGGTCTACCCTCGACAATTCAAACAATGCGTCGGGAGACACGCAGAGCAATTCATGGGATATGATCAACATGACTCCCAAGAGTTTGCAACCTATCTCCTGGACGCGCTTCACGAAGACACAAATCGGGTAACGAAAAAGCCATACATTGAGAAACCAGAGAAGGTTAAGGATGAATCCGATGATGATGCGGCGAATAAAGCTTGGGAGCTTCACTTGAAAAGAGAAGATAGCCGAGTCCTGGAGAATTTCATGGGCCAAGTGAAAAGCCGCCTGGAGTGTTGCACGGCCAATTGTGATCGTGTGTCAACAACCTTTGATCCGTTCATGTACCTTTCCGTCCCAATCCCCGGTGAAACTGATCGGCAGCTCAAGATCACTTTCGTTCCACTAGAACCAAATGAAAAACCAAGAAATTTCGAGCTTACCGTGCCGAAGACTGCAGCTATGGGCAAAGTATTTTCAATGCTAAACGACGAGCTAATCGCATTGGGAGTCCGGAGTGATCCCATTCCTCTTCATGATTTCGTAGCCGTGGATGTCTGGTCACATGAAATTTTCAGCTGGTACCAATTGGACTCGGATCTCGACAGGATCCGAGAGACGGACACAACATTCATTTTCGAATTGGATCCGCAAAATGAGATTTCTATAGAATCAAAGAAGAGATCAGATGCGCCAGACGACGTTGAGAAAAGTCTTTCCAAAGTGAGCGATAGAAGTCGGGTCAATTTGGATGTCGAGACTCTGACAAGCTTAAACAAAAACGATCACTGGCAGAGCGAAATCGAGAAGTATGTGAAGGTCTCGCACACGGTGTACATTTTGTTCAATGAGAAAAGGGGAACTGTCGAAGATCGTCTACATTTTTACAACAAACTGAAGATATTCCTTGAACAGTGTCAGAAAGAAGTGGAGGACCACGAGGAGTCGTCGGCGAAGACTGATGCTGTCAAGGACGACGACGAAATGAAGGATGAAGGTGGCAATGATGGCGATGGCGATGGGAAAACAGCTGCCGATGCAGGAGAGATACAAGGATTGATTGATCGGACCGATGCATCTCCTACATTTACAAATGTGAAAACGCAGCGCGATGTAGAAATTCTTGGATTCTGCGCAAACAAAATTCGTCAACTCATCCTCAAGCTGATAACTGACAAGAAGAACTTATACAGCGATGGTATTACAATTCAAATTTCGATGAGGAAGCACAAGACTGCATACTCTTCGAGCACAAAGCTTGCAACGCCTATAGCCCTCCGCATTCCTTCAACGATGACAGTTTACGGTCTTCGAAAAGAACTGGCGAAGCGACTCTCGAGATCGCTACAATCAGATTTGAAGGATCGGGCGAATAACTCGGCAGGATCGGCTGATACCTTGGAGGACAAAAGTAGGCCCATGAATGGCGACCACGTCTTTGGATCTCCTGAGCTCTCTATTATGCGACAAGTCCCCTTGTCCTTTGATCGGAAGGACGGCACCAGCTACGGCGGCACAAGGACGACCTACAACTCCAAGCAGCTCGGAATGCTTGAAAAGACGCACGATGGAGAAGGCACTATGGCCGATCCAAATGATGATGCAGAAATGGCTTATGTGGCAGATATCTTGGGACCACTAGGAAACGTCACATTGGAATGGCCTGGTGATTTGTGCGACCGATGCTTTGATGAAGTCGAGTACGAAAACGTAGAAGAAAGTACAACAGAGGAAGATGGGAAAAAAGAAGAGAAAGCTGTAACAAATGTTTTGGACTGTATAGAAAAGTACTGTCAAATGGAACAACTGGAGGAAACTGAGATGTGGTATTGCAATCAATGCCAGCAACATGTCCGCGCATGGAAGCAATTTCACCTTTACCGAGCACCGCCAATACTCATCATTCACTTGAAAAGATTTCATTATTCTGCCAGAACACACCGTCGAGATAAAATCACGTCCTTCATTGACTTCCCCTTGAGAGGACTTGATTTGACTAAGCTGGTTTCAAGTTATACAGAAGAAGGAAAACCAATATACGATTGCTATGGAGTCAGTAATCACTACGGTGGTTTGGGCGGAGGTCATTACACAGCTCACATCCTGGACGAAGATGGCTCATGGAACTACTACGACGATACCCGTATGACCAAGGCAGAAGAAAAGGAGGTGCTCTCGGAGGCAGCCTATGTTTTGTATTACAGAAGACAAGATGTTCCTTTTGAACGAAATGTTGCCTTTCCAACACCAGAAGCTATCCCACCATTACCCCCTGCTCCAGCCGCGATAGAGGGCGAACCTACCAACGCAATGGGGAACGATGAAAGCGACCTCTCTAGCAATGTATCTACCTTTGGCGTTGTGGCAGATGATGAGGATGACATGGCCGTCGACGGTGACTCCAAAGCTGACTCTTCACCAGTTGAGTCAATGGACGCAGAGATTGACATCGCCGGCTTCACAAACGAAGATTTTCCACCTTTGCAATAGCTAAGTTCGCCCATTGTGCTGTAAAGGAAACTTCTTAGGAACAAATAAAACTCTGTATTTCATTAGCAAATTACAACTTTAAAATCTTCGTGCTTCAGTCTATCGTGGTGCCGTTGCCGCTTGTTCAGCAGCTGATATCGCCTGTTGAAATCCTTGCAGATCTTTGATGTCCTCTTGCTTCCTATTAGCTGGTGGACGTGCACCAGGAGATGCTGAACCGCTATATTGAGTAACAGCTTCACCAACCTTTGACTTGACATTTTCTGCAAAACTGTTGGCTTGCTGCATAATTCCAATTCGTTCCAGCTGTGCTGATGCTCTCTCGTTAACTTTTGACTTTGCTACATATTTTTGTGCCTTTCCAATCATAGAGAAAAACCGAGTGGAAGATTTCTTTATAGTCTCAGTAGCGTGATTGGTTTTTATTACCGCTCTGTTGTCAAATGTGGGGCAATCTATACAAATTGACAGGTGTGAGCTACCTTGAGGAGTCGAGACGTACACCACCTTGGTGCAACAGTTACTTACATGAAAGGAGTTTGCCTTGATTGTCAGTTTCAAAAACATCAATGATCGTCAAGGACACAAGATCACCAACTTGAAGTGGAGGTGTCTTCTTTTCCTGATCTTCCTCACCGAATATACCAGGATGCTCTTCCAACAGACTCGCAAACTCATTCATCCACGTCCAAACACAACGGTGAGCAGCCGTCACACGATACCGTCCACCAGCAATTCTCATGACAGTCAAACCAGGTGGATCAATAACATTCAAATGGTCGCCATTAGGCATGAGCGCCAACCATCTCAGAAAGAGTTGTGACAACGCAGGGATACCAGCAGCTGCCTCCAATTCAATTCCTTCCACTCGTTCAATGCCAAATAATTGAGAAGCAGTGTGTGCCTGAGGTAGGACCACTTCTGCATCATCAGCAAATACTACAAAGGGTAAGGGTATAGTAGCAGTCGCAGATGTAATCACTGATTCGTCGTCCTCTTCATACTCGGCATTCCACTCCGACAGCGTCGTCGCTCCTCTAGGTGGATGTGTGTGCAATGCTTTCTTAAATTCATCAGGATTGGATAGCAAATATAGTAACGCCAAAAATGCTTCGTGAACAGTTTCAGTGGCATCTTCTTGATATGATGCATGGGCTCCAGGACCTCCAGTCACTGAAGAATTGGCGCCATCATTTGTGTAATAGGCATCCGAACCGACCGCGGAACTGTAATCCATGGACTCCTCAGTGTACGATCTTTGAAGATGTTGATACTGCTGACTCGAATATCCGCTGTCGTCAATGTCGAAAGAAGGTCCTGAATTGCTCATGGTTGATTTGTGCGCGTGGTCTTAACTTTCTGAACCTTTCAATGTCACTGTTGCTCCACTCCACACTCAAGTTCACTTCTATTTTCCATGTCGTTGTTCGTGCAGAGAAAAATTCATGTGTAACCGTTATTTTGCGGAGGTTGGCCGTTTCCTTTTATGGGGAGGTTCGAAGAGTGAAAGTTGCCCCTCCCCCACTGAAAAAATGAAGACGAAAGTCCACTCGCCGTTCTGATCATATTGTTGACTGACAACAACGGTGAACTTTTGCTTTCTTCCAACCATGGATGCTGAAAATATTCCCGAGGCAGCACTAGGGAACGGGTCCCTTGATCACGGCTTGAACGAAGCGTCGCCAGCAGAGGCGCGGCCTTCCGTCGCAAAGCGATCTCTCGAGACGGATTGTAGCGACAACGTGGATGATGAGGAGGGCAATGGAGCAAAGCGTACCAAGCTCGATCTTGAGTCAGTATCAGAAGTTCCTGCTGCCCCAGGCGGTGAAGTGGATGAAACAGATAATGGAAGTAAGCCACATTCGAGTATGGATGATTCGAAACCCAAGCCAGTCGTTGCCTCTGCCGATGACTCTCAAATGAATGGCAGCAAGGCTGCTTCTTGTCCCAACGCCTTTGAGTCGGAAGAAAGTCTGGCACACCAACGATCGATAATGGAAAATGGGGGCAGGTGGAGAACACATCAGATGGCCGAAGATTATGTGGGTGCTGTGGCAAAGCTAATGTATCCAGGAACCAAATTTGGACCCTACGGCTACAACCACAACATGCGGGAGTACCCACTCGAATACATATCCGTCTTGGCCTTTATCAAGAGCCCCTTGCGGCGGCCTGCCGTGATTGAAAAGTGGAGTCCCTACGAAGTAGCCTTGTTTGAGGGTGCCATGCTGCATTATGGCAAGGAGTTTCATTTGATTAGTCAGGAAATTAAGACCAAGACGACTCAAGAAGTCATTGACTTTTACTACGTTTGGAAAAAGACGGCACATTACAAAAAGTGGAAGGAACAGTTTATAACCGACGAGGACTTGGAGTATCGACTGGAACAAGCATCTACCGCTAAACGATGAATGACAAGATTGGTTTTGAACTTTTAAAAATAGAACCTTCCTGTTTTGGCTCCTCTTACTACTATTATACTAACTATCTAAATATCGCGGCAGTCACTCACCATACCATCAGCGAGTGTTGAAGTCGCTTGGATTCCAATCTCCACAGCCTTCAACCCATCTGAAAGCGAGACATGTGGTTGGAACTTTGAACCATCTTTATACTTTTGCACCGCTGCCAAGAGGTAGTACCACTCCACAGCTGTGCTACAATAATGGTATCCACCATGTGTTGGAATATCCTCAGCAATCCCATGGATATCCTTGACGTTGGAGCAGTCAAAGACCTGTTCACGAATGCACGACTTGGGTGGTGGGATACTTCTGTCTTGCCACTCTTCCATTGTTGGTCTTCGATACATGAAAACCTTGTTTTCTGGAAGGTAGGCTTCCAATCGCCCCTGTAAAGAACGAGAAGAGTGGAGGTATGGATCAATCTTTCTATCATATGAAATATCACATATCGTTCCCTAGACCTTCTTACCTTGCTACCAGTCACAATGATCTCCTCTTGGTGACGAGAACCTTCTGCAAACATACATAGCTCAAGGCAGCCAACGGTGTTGCAACGTCCATCTTCAGCACGAAATGGCATTGTAACGTATGCGGAATCCAGAATGGGAACATCGAATTGGTTGTTTTCGTGGCCATAGTTGATACCTCTCTGAGCCAAGGCCCGGACCTTTGATAGGTCCACTTCTTTCCTGGTGATTAGCCGGAACAAGTCAAAGAAATGGCAACATTTCTCGACCAAAGTATCCCCTGTTTTTGATCGATCACGGTTCCATTCCCCGATCTTCCAAAACGGAAAATATTGAGATGGGACTGCTGATAATGTGAAAGTGTGGCGGAGTCCATCAAAAGGTATGTGTGCTTACCTTATGGAGAAAGGGGTATCGGTTCTCACGAATAGTCACCATTTTGAGCTCTCCGATCTCAGGCAACAAAGACAAGAGCTTGGCAATTGCAGGAATGTAGCGATACTCCATGGCAATCCACAAGCGAGCCGACCATTCGGGAAGCTTGGATGCCGCAATCAATTCGTCATGCTGGTCCTGGGAAACTGATACCGGCTTCTCACATAGAATCGTGATGTTATAAACGCCCCATCTCAATAACGTAGGTGTATGCATATAATTTGGTGATGCAATGACAAGGAGGTCAATCTCTCCGGCGCTTGCTAGGAGTTCTTCCTCATTCGACAGATACTTTGGTTCGTGATACGGGCTATCCATGATCAATCGTCTTGCCTCTGTCAATGATTTCTCGAAAGGGTCGCAAAGAAAGTCGAGACGAACTTCATCAGAGTATCCCAATATGTAACTGATGTGCTCTTGCCCCATCTGCATGATAATTTGCGATCAGAGAACCGGCAAAATGTGAGTAAGATGTTTCACCATCAAACCGGAACCATCATGAACGAATTTACCATTCCTGTCCCCAAGATTGCACATCGTATTCGATTGTCCTCAATGGTGGTTGGAACTAGTGGTGTATGGTGGATGTTTGGAGCCATTACTAAATACTTTCAAAGGTTTAGTTGCTTTCACAGAATTTATGGTGGGTTGGTGTGAAAGAAATTGAAATGATTGATGTCACGAAAAATCCTAAAAGATGTCAAGGGAATTGCAGTTTTGAGCTTGGTGGTACCCGTACACGTGTACGTGTACCAAGGAGGTACTGTACTGCATGTACTGCACAATTTCTATTACGGGTACAGTATTTTTTAATTTAAAATACCGTATCTTTACCGTTATTCTCGGAGAGTGTTCGCTCGCGCTTTGACAGTGTTCGCACGTTTTGACACCACATTCACGTTCCATCAAATTCTCATTGACTATCCATGGGAACGATGAAGCCTAAACTCCCCGCTGACCCTCTGATTTTCGGTTTCTGGAAAGTTCCAAAGAATATCTGCGCCGACGTTTGGTAAGAACAGAACCATGGTGTATTTGCCGGTACGTTTCTCACAAATAGCCATTGCCGACTGTCTCGACAAATCAGTTACAAAGCGATCAGCGCTGGATA